ATTCCAGATGCAAGTAGTGCCATCTACATTTGTATTTACAGCTAAATTTTGCTTTTACTGGAAGGGCATAAAATGTGATAATATTGTGGGATATTGTATGAATGTTGCCTTTATTAGAAACGACTATTTTATAAGGAGTAATAATTATTTAATGTGAAAATGTTTTAGGTCAATGCTAATTTTACTTTTAGTAAAATGAACGTCGTTTTATAGTACGATTGTCATTTTGAATCATTACAATCAAAATTCATATTTTATCTATAATTTACTGTAAAGCAGGTTCAGTAATATAATTTTTCGTCGTGGACTGTTAATAAAAATAGCATATGGAAGGACGGTTAAGGCCAAAATTTAAATTATAAGCAATGTCTATAAAAATGTAATAATTATTGGTGACCTGTTTCGTACTTATTTCAGCAACTAAGGCGAAGCGCGTCATAAATTTTTAATTTTCATTTTGAAATGTTTGCATTAGTTATTTTGTATTAATAAATCTAACAAGAAAAATAATTCGTCACTTTTATAAGTGATTAGTAGAGGCGCGAAATGAACTAATATAGCAGCACCCAGAATGTATCGATGTGAAAAAGTTTATGTTAGTTACATGAGTTATAAACCAAAAATGATATTTTGAGGAACTTCTGAGTACTGTTTAAATAATGATTAGTTACTAATCGGAGACTGTTTGATCATCTAATTCATGTGGACTTATGATTTTTCTGTGTAATCACATTTTTTTTGTAGTTTTATCTGACTATTGATATATTTTGGCATAGCTTTAGATGTATTCCGTTTTTTTAAGAAGAAACATTTATGTGATGGCAGCTGTTAACAGTGGCTTTTAGCTGACATGTTGATTGTCAGATGAAAATAAGCATTTATATTGTTTTAGTATCTTTAGCACACCCCATAAAAATTGTTAACCCAATTTTAATGTCTTCTTTTATATCATCTTCAGTACGGGCAATATCTTGACATCTGATGGGAAAAATATTCTGATTCGTATTTTTTGCATAATCTCATTCAAAAGGGCCCTTTTTCATGAATTTGCATGTTGCCAGGTCCAAATTTGCGTCATAACTTTTTCAACAAATTTCAGAAATTGTTCTTTTTGTGCTTCGGTGACAGTGTTTTTAAGTTTTTAGGACATTCTGGAAAAAGGTGCTTTCGAACTGGATAGTTTTCGAGATATGAGCGATACAATATTTGTAAAAGTGCGAAATATTCCATTTTCGATCTAGAAATACAATATGAAAAAACGGAAATTTCAATTTTGCCAATGTTCATAAATATTTTTCAAGCAACCATTAACAAAATCCCAAAACACCTGAGGAGGCGTTAGTACTGTAAGCCTTTGTTTTTTAATTGTCGTTTGTTGTTTAAAAATTGTCGACGTTAATTTGGGCCTGGCAACACGCAGGTTCATTAAAAGTGGCGCTTTTTGAATACAATTATGCAATAAATCTGGATTAGAATATTTCCCCATCAGATGCGAAGATATTGCCCGGATGACTTTTGTTATTCCATTTTGTTAACATTGAGAAAATATATGTTTACAATTATACTCCATGGATAAAATGATGAATCGTTGAATTTTGTTGCATCGTACGTTTTTTGTTTTTTAGTTTGTGTGATTGAATGAACAAATATTTTTCTGGGGTGTGTACTTTTGTCACTATGTCATAAAATCTGGCAATATGTCATAGCACGACTTTTACTTTTTACTGTCAGAGAGGTAGTAAGTATTGTATAATATTGTATATATATGTTAACTAGATGTTATACACTTATATCGAAAACTAAACAATGTGCTAAATGATTGCATTTTATACAACTTCTATAGTTTGGTCTGAAGAAAGTTTTTTATAAAAATGTTTATGTATAATTTTATTTTTCTCACACCACCAGCGTATCTAAACAGAAGTTCCAAACTAAAAATCTTTATTTAATGAGGCAAACTTCAATTTGGTAAGTGAATTTTTTTAGTTAAATCTCATTCTTTTAGATTCTTTAGACGAAGCTTGCCCAGTTAGAGAAGACTGAGTAATTTTGCGAGTGCCACTATTTTTGTAGAACACACCACATGTTTACATATTCAAAACCTAGTTTTTTGAAAATCGTATGCTCCTCTAAATTCGGTGAAACTATTTCATACTTTCAAAAAGTACTCACATCAGTTACTATGGAAATTTTATGTGTTCGAAATTCTGACTAACTTTTCATTTATCTAATGCTGGAGGTATACTTGTCTTAATCTTTACTCATAAAGCTGACGTTTCGACATTTATTTGATGTCTTCATCAGCAGTACAAAATGCGAAGAATACATTTTGATGAATTACAATAAGACCAAAAAGTTATATGGATAAGAACATCAAAATAAACAAATATGTTAAAAACAGTAGTTGAATCTTGAATCAAAACATGAGACAAATATGATGAAAAAAACAGTAAATTGTAAAAAATGGAGAAGAGCAACCTTTTACCAGAATCCGAAAATTAAAACAAGAAACGTAACTTTTGTTTTGAGCTGAGGGCGTGGCAAATACTATCAGGCATTTTTTAAGAAATTGTCAAAGTTTGTATCTTGAATTGTATTGTTATCATGAAGTGCTTTTTATTGTATGAAATATTTCATGAGGAAAGATTACGTCGAAAGTATTATTTTGAGAAAACTATTTTTCAGAGTTCTTATGAATGCATTGCCTGTATTTCGTTGGTGTTCCGCAAGCTCCTCGTGTGTTGTGAAAAGTCTTAAAGATAAATGGAACTACCTGTAAAAAGTTGTTTACTATTTAAGAACAGAACTGTAAATACCAACATTTTAAATAAAAAATATTAATTTATTGAATTGTGTTTCAATCTTGAAATTGAAAAAAAATGGGCCCTAATAAAAAATTCGATAGAATGTTTCTCACGTCAGTTGGCCAGAAAATATGGTGATCATGAGGCATTCTGAATCCAATTTTTTAATTTAGTATACACGTTTCCAACCCCTATAAGTATGCTATCACTTTTTTCCTGCAATCATTGAAATTTATTATGGGCTATCCTACCCTTGCTCTACTTTTTGTTAATGTGCAATCTTGTAAAATAGTCATAGTTCCGTTTAATGATCATGATCTTTAGGCGCCCTACCCACTCTCAAGAACGTTAGTTTTACTCGTTTTTTGCTCATTTTTACTCATATTTTCTTCCAAAATACTCATTTTTCTCGAGAGCCTGTAGAAACAGTAATGATCCAAATAATTGATATTTTCGAAAAAAATCTTATGTTCCTGGAATTTAGACCGACAACCGTGGAATCTTACAGGCACTGTGTTTTCAAATGGTCTATGGTCTATGTTTAGATATTACAATATCTCTTCAAAGGGTAAGTTTGTTCCTTCATTTTTACTTTCTTCGTTTTTACAATTTTGATAAACATCTTATGTTTGTTTAGTTTGGACCGACAAGTATGAAATAAGGCACTCAGTTTTCAGATATTCCATGCATACCCGTATTTTGGGATTTTTAGGCGGCTTACGACATCTTGTTTCGAAGTTGACTTTTGTCATTTGATTTTTCAATCATCGCAAAGAGTAATTAATTCTGAGATTCATACAACCATGACTTCAATTTTTTATTCACTAAACTACACATCAACATATATACACATGATTAACCTTTATATACATTTATCAAATATCTGTCCCGCAGGGTAGATGTTGGATGTTGTTAGATGTCAGTAGTCACTTACCAGTCTTTGAAATGACTACCAATCCTAGAAGTTATTTAGAGCTGTTTTCCTGGTTGATCCATTCAGTGGTGACCAAGTGCACGTTTCTCCTGAGGAACAGAACAATGTGAACTAGGTTTTTATCGATAATTCAGCATTTTTGTAAGTAGAAGAAAAGGATTTTTCTCTGAAGAAGGGAACTGCCTACTATAATGTAACATCTGAAACTTATCTTGGGGTTTTCATGCCGATAATCCCCGATGTGTGACCTTAAAGAATTTCAAATATGGATTCGTTGACCAGACAAACGGGGGATTATAATAATATATTCACGCACAAAAAAATATTATAGTTGGGCAGCTTAAACAACTTTCGCGAGTGCCGCGTCGAATTTTGTTTTTTTCCAAGTTTTGCACGAACACTGAATTTAAATCCTATAGGCTTTCAATCTACTTTTGGGAGAAGGTTACAAAAGAAATTGACAACTGCTGGCTGTGGTGGCGGTAGTGCATATAAAAATAAAGGTATTCAAAATGATATCGCTGATTCTCCGAATAGTTTTTTATACACGCAATAAAAAATGTCACAACCCTTCAGTTTGCATTGCTGCTGAAGCAAGGTAATTTGAACATTTATTGTGAATTTATTAAATACATTCACGAATTAATAAAACTGCGTTACCATCTGTCTTGCTGTCACTACCTAGAATGAGACTGTCTGCCACTCCGTCTAAGAAAAAAATTAAATTTGTGATAATGAGAACTAAAGATCATCACAAGGTGTAGATTTTTCCGATTTTTTTAAGCCTATAATTTGAAAATGCATGACTTAGTTTTTTTAATATTTTTTTATAACTATTATGACTTGGATTATCCTCCGTTGCCGACTTGAGGTCGATTTCTGGGACACCTTGAATGCTCGGCAAAACCGGACATCGAATATGCCGGGTACCGGATAGTAGTAGTAGTATATAGATATATATATATATATATATATATATATATATATATAGATACAAACCGAGTACAAACAAATGCGATTGTATGTAAGCAAAGCGAACTAAAAATACTTCCCGTGCTGATGCAAAAGTCTACTACTATCAAAATCTATAAATTCTAAAAGTGATGCTTATCATTAACAAAAAGAAAATAGTACCAGCATCCGATGTTGTCCATCGTTTTCGAGGATATCAGCAACGTCAGGATTTTGGTCTTCTATTATTTCGTTGCTCCCTAAATATTCCTGACTGCAATAAAAGTCAACGAATTAATTTTGGTTGAATTTCAAACATTTAACTTAGAAGCTAAAATAAAAAGAAATAGATTGACTTTTCATATCTCTGTTCCCGTGGGAGATAAATGAAACCTTCGACGTTAGTAAAAAGACTTTTCTGACGCTTGGGCCATATTAATAATAATAATAATAATAATAATAATAATAATATTCTTTATTGCCAGCAAAATTTTAAAGAAAAAAACATAAGCAACGTCAAAAAAAAAATGTAGTACAATACCAACGGGATATTATATGTATGTTTACAATATTAAAAACTATTAAAATGACAAATAAAAGTCCAGTATGTCACAACTTAGCTTAAAATGTTATTAAAATAAAATAATAGAGCTCAAATGTTAAAATCAAAGCTGTACAAACATCTGTCCAGCAAAAACTTTTTCACCGCTCTTTTAAACCTAATAGGCTTGCTCTCGGATTTTATATCTATAGGAAGCATATTGAAAGTTTTGACAGCCATGTATATGATGTCCTGTTTCAAAGTACAAATACAATGGTACATCTATTTAGTTTAAGTTTAAGTATTTTATTTGTACATGTACTTTGAAGAGGCCACCGCTGTTTTAACGTGTGCTAAATCTGTTTTCAAACATTTGTGGTCTGATTTATGAATATGAATCGGCGAGACAATCACAGGACAAATTTCATAAGTAGAATTATCTCATCGTCAAACGAAAATCTTTGAGAATATGCTACTACAGATTGTTTACTATTTTAGTATCGTCTTGATGTCGTGTTTAGAGAAATGCTGAACATTGGAAATTTGATACACTACATTATTACGGCTTTCGGCCACTTTGTCTTAGTATCATATCACCGAACTTTCTTTCCAGTCCTATCCTTTTATTATCACTTATAAGTTTGGGGAAGCATTTCAGATTCAATCAACAAGCCAAAAGAAAAGCCGAAAAGTATATATTGATGGGTATATTGATATATCCAAGGATAGGTGTAAATCCTAAGGACAAAAATAAGAAAATTCGACAAATTGAACTGGCAACATTGGGCATTCATATTTCTACTACTACTACTACTACTACTACTATTCTTTTTTATATTTCAAAAACATATGATTCAAACAAATGCTTATCCAAAACTACTGGAATAATATCCTACAACATACAATACTTATACCAGTTTTCCAGATTTTGTCCTACAGTCCTGAAAATGAAGATGCCATGGTGGTTGTGCTATTTCGCGTTATATGACGCGGATAAAATTAACACATCTCGGTGAAACAGGAATTTATCCCAATAAAAATAAGCAATCAAATTACAAAAAAGTGTGACCATCAAGCCACAACAACACCGTTTTCCTTTTAGTCCATTCGCGCAAAATCTGAAAAAACCGAGACCAATATTGTAAAACATTGTTCCCAAAGCAAACGCATTTTCAAAAAAATCCCGTATTTTTCGACGTATAAAGAAAAGAATCATGTTTTTACATATAAAGTGTAATACGTCAGGAACTAAGTTTCATTCAGATGATGATTTTTCGAAGTCAGAGGTTAGAATCATGTTCCATCTAAAATGAACAAATACCTTTAATATCGCTGCCGTCGCTCAACATCTCATTTGCATTGAAGTCATTTGAGCTACTTCCAAATATGTATCGCCTGTTCAGAGGTTTTTGAATGAGCCTTGACAAGTACCATCTGGGAAGCATTGACATATCAGCATCTCTACGAGTGCTGCTGATGTGGGAAGAGTCACTTCTTTTTCCATGACCTAAAAGTAAATCAATACGCGAATTGAACCAAGTCTTGTGGCATCTCCTTAGGATATTATCACTATCTACAAGTTGACATGATGACAAAACCTTGTCTAATATGACACTCTGACATGCATTGGTTTCATGCAATTTTGAGGAATCGTATGGTCATCGTCAAACATTAACCAAAAATGTTGAAAGGTTTTCATTTGAATTTTTAGTGGAACTATCGCCGTTATACCCTCTGCGTGCGTCTCCACGATATTGGTTTAATTTCTTCAATCGGAAATATGAAATAAGTATAACATCTGAATTTTGTACTTACCACCCCAACATGCATGACCATAGCTTAGGCAGGACCCTGTAAAAAATCCGTGTGAGTGAGTAGTGATCAATGTTTCCCTTAATCAATTGTGGACGTGTGACAATGCGCCCACGAAAAATTTTGGTGAGAATTTTGGGCGCACGGCGTCGTTAGTTTTGGAAAAATTGCTGAGCTTATTAGCAAAAAGCATTATTGCATAAATATACCAATATTTCACTATCTTAGCATAAAATACTTTTTTCATCTGATATTAACTAACCTACCCGTCACATCTTTTCTGTCTAACAATATTCTAAATAATGAATAGCAATATTATCTAAAAATTAGTCAACGAGAGGTAAAGTTTAAAAAGCGGAATATGGGAGTTTTTTAAACCGAATCGGTTTCTATACGTAGACGGTTCAAATTTTAACGAGACTTAAAAAACCGTCATTTAAGATTCATGCCAGGTAAAATTGATTGCCTATAATTGCATATATTGCAGCTATATAGCCCCCTCGTTATTATTTGCTCGCTGGTGAGGGTAAAGGTGAATTTGCCTACAAGATTGTACAATTTGACTTCATTAGCATTTGCTTGTCTTACGTTTTGAGAAACTAAACCTCGTGGATCAGCGCTAACTATAGCTCTAGCGAATAGACATCGAAGATTTAAACAACCGCCAAAGTCCACAAAAAATAGCATATGTAACTACATACATAGGTTTTCCAAATAGAAAAGAATTCCGATATTATCTTAGATATAACTATTACTACATTTTACACCGACACAAGCTACTATAAAAAAGTTTTGCGGATCCGCACAGAGTCGTAAAATATGTACTACTATAACTTGTAGCTAAAAAACAATACTGAATGAAAAATGCGATAACAATTTTTGGCCACTCCAGATTATTACACTTCCCATTCATTATTTCATCGCTATTTCGACATGGTGTGTTATTATTTTTTCATTTTTGTTATGATTAAATTAATATACCCGTAAACGGTTTCGAGGAACGCAGCGTATATTTCAGTACTTAATTAAACATGCTCAGGTTTGCTATATTTCTGCATTAATATAACATTCAATATAATATCTATTCCAGGAAAAGCAATATATTACGCTCTTAGGAAAAAAACTACGTGCAATTTTATTTTTGCATCTTGTACAGCGGAAAAAATCTCTTCGCGATTTTTTCAGTAGCTTTGAACTGGTTTGTCTCAAAAAATCTCTCGATACCTACTAAAATGGATATAAAAGCTTTTACAACGGGTTTAAAAATGTTTGAAGATAGCAAATCCCAAAAATCCTCAAACTTGTACACAAAATCATCTTAAATATTCAAATTTTAAGGGGGGTCACGGCGTTCCACTTCCACCCCTTGTGGGTGGCCGCGAGTACCCTTCAATTTTCAAACACTTTAATCTTGGAACATGTAAATTAACTACTGGTTTGCAAATTTTGGAGTTTAGAGGATACCCTATACATCTTTTGATAGCTTAGAATTTCTCAACATAAGTGTTGATTCATTGTGGATAAATGGTGAAAACACACCTTGGGATTTGTTCAGTGCATCTTTGAGGTAGTTACTAAGATATTAGTATCCATAAAGCGTTAAAATTTGCCAAAAATTGTTTTTTTCCAATATATCGAAAACTACTATTTTCCCGGGTATTTTGGGAAGTTTTACTCGTAAAGCAAGTTACTTTTTGCCATGAATTTAAAACTCTGATCTTATCGACTTATAAAAGAAATAGACATTTATTTTTTTTTAAAATAGTAGGTACAAGGTGTCAGAAACATAAGCGTATTTTGTGTTGTTTCGTGAAACGGCAATATCCAATTCATTAAAGATCAGTGGCGTTCGTAGAAAAGGCTTTTAAAACATGCACCAGCTTCACAACGGCATTATAGTATAATGTGGGCAGTGACCTAAGCATCTTAAAAATCGAGAAGACAATGCTCTGATAGGACACATCGCCCATGGTATTTATTCATAAAAACACCCTTCAAAATGATACGTGATCTATTGGTACTTAGGGTACCAGAAACTTTTTACTCATCCGTAAGTTACCCTTTTGGTTAATGTTGAAACCATTTGAGTTCGTTGACAGTATGTACAGTCTGTGAAACTCAAAGGTTCGCCTCTTATTAGCCTACCAAGCAAGGACTATAAACCATCTAAACCTAAAATATTCTTCTGGGCCTTGTACGGCAAGGTTTGAACTTTAATTTAGGCACCTGGCAACCTCAAAAATTATGTCTTTTAAAAATTTTCAAGACCTTTATAATGATCACTTGCAGAGATCGTCAAGACCCCTGAATGGCAAAATATTTCCTCAGATTTCAGTATACAGCAAGGTTTTAAGCTTTTCGATTCATGGTTAGTAACTCTTCTCTGAACTTGATAGTTTTTTCAAGTTATAAGCCATTCAGTGTGAGAAAAACCCTAAACAGGGCATTTTCAATGCTTGAAAGCTTGGTTGAAAATTATTGTTTTGGAGGTTGCCAAGTGTCTAGATCAAAACGGAAAGGGGGGACCCTTCAAAAAAATATGTTGTGAATGTTCCACAAATCACATCTACTTAACTATGCCTGATTTATTTCTATCTATTTGCATTTCATTGTTTTATCCATATATATATACAGGGTGTAAACGTTATGGTAGTCATTATTGAAATGGGTAATAGGGGGGTCAAAACATGGTCCAAAAGTCAATAGATTTTTGTCTAAATGGCTTTATAGTTTACAACTTTAAGTGCTTTATATCGACTAGAATCACCACAATCTTACTAATTTTTATAATCTAATCTAAACGTTTTTAAATTGGGTAATTAACAAATAAATGGCATAAGGTTTTTCTAAGTTGAACCAAAATTTGTAGTCAGTAAGTAAGTTAGTTAAATTAAATTGAATATTTAAAACCCACATGACAACAGCGCGTCGGTCATCATCACCCTTATCGAACCGGCAATCGATCGCAATCGGTAACAGTGGTTATCTATCGGGCATCGGGCGTGTTGTTTACAATGTTCTCGAATCAAGAGTTCGCCGAAATGTTAGTTTACGGTGAAGCTCGTCAGAATTCAAATATTGCGTGAGAAGTAATAATTTAGTCGTTTGAAAGCAACACACAGATAATATATAAAAAATGCCTGCTATAGTTCAAATTGTATATACCTGTTTTTTGCGCGTACATATCCATCAGAATTTAAACAGGGTGCTCATGCTCATGCACCATAACATGGTAGGTACATTTTTGTGGCGTTCATGAAGTAATCCTTTACCCTCTATTACAGACAGAGAAATATTCATAGTTTTCGTTAATCGGCTCTGTTGCGATAGAGTAACAAGAAAAAATTTATTTCATCAGCGGTACTTCTATTACTTGGAAAGTGTCACTAGATTTTGAAGAAATTTTGAAAGGCCCGTCTGGTACCAGTATTATGACCAAAAAATCAATAACTCGCCTAAACTTGACTATCTTTTTTCGTTACTGTTTAATGCGATAAAAAATTCCCATAGAGGAGACAAAAACCAGAGAGAAGTCTAACTTTGTTTATTGATGTATTTGGTTTATTTGAAGGATTCAAAGATTGTGAAATCCGGCTAATCTCGTTTTCTAATTATAAGCATCCACTCATTTGTACAACTCCAAACACGAGCAACGCGATGTGTGCACTTCGAAAATATGTGGAGTGGAATCTGCGTTGAAAAATAGGCAAATGTAATCTAAAAACGCCACAAAATTTATGTGATCAGGCTAACTAGCTGAACCCTGTTGTTATTGAAATTGTACTGAAGATTATATATATATATATATATATATATACTAAGTGACATATAAATCCGAACACCCAGTTTAAATGGTTTTATTTTAATAAAATTTTGTATAAGTACTTAATGAATCATATAAGTAACTGATAAAAATTTCAAAATGATTGCACTGCTTTAAAGCCCTTTGACCTTTAATAATGTGTGGATGCACCCTGATGTGCTACGCATTCTCCAACGCGCCTAGGCATGCTTCTGATCAGGTGGTCAATGTCCTCCTGTGGTAATCTCATTCCAGGCAACCACCAACTCATCTCGAAGTGCTTCTAGAGTCTGAGGAGGACATTGCAAATTGAGCAATCTCCTACCCATCATACCCCACACGTACTCAATTGGGGATAAGTCGGGAGATCTTGGTGGCCATGGTAACAATGTGACATCATTATGTTGAAAGAAGTCTATGTGACTCTTGCAACATGTGGTCGGGCATTATCTTGTTGGAAATTTGGATCTGCCAGGGTGTCAAGATAGGGTAAAAGATGGGGTTCTAGAAACTTCGTGGATATAACGCTGCGCGTTCATGTTACCTCTGATTAAGATTAAAGGTGACCTGGAACCATAAGCTATAGCACCCCAAACCATAACTCCAACAGTGTGATGAACATGTCTTTCAACAAAAAAACTGTGGATTCCTCCTTCACCCACGTCGCCTCTAACCCTGGCAACGACCATCGTGCATGCCTAAACAAAATCGAGACTCGTCACTAAAGACAATACTGTTCCATTCCGGATCCCAGAGTGACCGTTGTCTGCACCACTCAAGGCGATTTACGTCGGTGTTCTCGAGTTAAAGGGAGGACCCAGTGTGGCCGGTATGAAAACAAGCCAAAACTTCTCATTCGTCGGTAAACACTTCGCATGCCAATATGTCTTCCGTGTTCTGCAAACCATTCATTTGCAATGGACCTGTTAGTGGGGAGAAGACGGTCCCTTAAGGCCAATAACTTAGGCTGCAGATCTTCACGGTCTGTTTTCTACGGCGGCGTCCAGTGCCCCTTGCTCTTTGCGTACGGCCTTCTCGAAGCCATGCCTGACCAACACCTAACCACAGTGTCTACACTTCTTTGCACTCTAACTGCAATTGCCCGAAAAGAAAGTCAGCTTCCCTAGTCCGACTATACGGCCCCTATCAAAACTCACTAAGTTGACGAAATCGTACAGGTCTCCGTGCTCTAGGCATCGTAACCGATCGTAAAGGATGTCAAGAACCAAAATCCGCCAACGTTGATTCTTTACGGCGGCTGAAATATTCATTTTTAGAGCGTTAGTGAATTAAAAAAAAGCAGTATAAAAACCGGAATGTCCAACTGATAAGGCTGAACATTTTTTCACTTGTTATTTACAGTAAGATAAATACATTCACCAACTTTTATTAAAATAAAACCATTTAAACTGGGTGTTCGGATTTATATGTCACTTAGTATATATACGAGGGATGTCTTTTAAGTTTTGCATATGGAAATAAAACAACACGGTAGGTAGTTTTGAATGACTTTACTGTTTTTCGAAGTATTCTCCACGAAGGTTAATACACATCTGCATGCGCTCGAAAACGGCATTTTTGAATGTGTCAACTGCTTCTTCTGGTGACTGGAACCTTTGACCACGCAGTCTGTTTTTAATTTTCGGGAAAGTAAAGAAATCGTTAGGACTTAGATCGGGACTATATGGAGGATGGTCCAATAATTCCACGTTTTCTTCCGTTAAATACTGCCTTGTTTTTTGGGCTGTGTGCGAGCTTGCATTGTCTTGGTGGAGGATGATTCTTCTTTCGGGGTTGATTTTTCGAAGCTCGGTGATGACTTTTGGCAAACAAATGGTGGTATACCAATCCGCAGTAACAGTCCTTTGCTCATTAAGAGGAATTGTTGCAATATGACCAGCTTTTGACACAAATGTCGCGACCATCTTATTCTCAACACTTCGAGAA